TCTTCTCTTCTCTTCTCTTCTCTTCTCTTCTCTTCTCTTCTCTTCTCCCCTCTACTCTCCTCCATTCCATTCCATTCCATTCCATTCTGTTCTATTCTACTGCAAAGGGTTTCTTCTTCTTTATTTTTTGAGATGGATTCCAGACCAGTCTCTGCATTGAAAGAAAGAAATGGGATTTTTTACTATAAATTTCGGAGATCTTCCTTTTTCTCAGATAGGCAGGACAATTTTTCCCTTCTAGTCTGTTCCTTCTCAAGATAAAGCTATCCTAGATCTCTACCAACATGAAGAACACAACATGCTAGTCTCCATCTGAACAGGGGGAGAATAAAATATAATTGATTGATTGTATAGGTAGTCCTCAATTTTTGGTATTTTCAGGAATTTTCTCCAACACCAAAGTTCAGCAGCATCAATCCTCTTTCTATCCTGCTTCTTCAAAATGCAAACAAAACGCAAACTTGGAAAAAAAGAGAGAAAGGACAAGTCTGTGTCACCTCAGAAAGTGGATCCCTCATTTAAACCAAGAATCTCTCATTTCAAATCCTGAGCTACTAATATTCTTCTTTATTGGCATCTCAGTAAGTGTCAGATATAATTTTCCTTATGCTTGAGGAATTTGGCAAAATTTGTTAGTTAGGAATGGGCTGAGTCATGGGCAACTCCTCCAGAATTTAGGTGGAGATTTGATTAATGTTCAGAAGTGACAATTGTGACAGTGAATATCTTCCAAGGATGGAAGTATTTATCCAATTACTTCCGCGTGCTAGTAACAAACACTGAGGTAATGATAGCTTTGTTTTCTAATTGTGGGTTGCATGATGACTTTGCAAATGCCTGAAGATTATTAGCCATTGTTGAACCACAACTTATTGGGAGGGTACCAAACTGGGAAAGGCATTATAGTCAATTGCTACTTTACATAAGGCACAGTTTCAACAGACCCAGATAAATAGTTCTCTTTTTTTAAATTTTTATTTAATGTATAAAATACAAAGAAAAATAGAAATAGGAAATTAGAAGGGGAAAAAAGTGAAGTTCAAGGAGAAAAACAAAACAAAAGAGGCGTTGACTTCCGATTCATTTTAGCACAATACAAGATAAAAATACTCAACTTTTTGCTTTTACACATAACTAGCCATGTATAACTAGCCATTTCTATAACAACAAATCTAATTGATCAACCCGAAGTCAAAGTTTCATATTTTTTTCATCACAACCACAAAATCCAGAATTGATATTCGAGTGAAAAAATGTACTTAAATATATTCCCCTCTTTGAATAAAAGGATAAATTTAACCATTCCTGCTTCGTCTTCCTTGCTGTGGAAAATATGTATTTCTATTTGCACCTAATAATCTTTTGTGAACTATCATCATTTTTATTAACAAAGTCCACTATATTCTTTCAGATTGTTTGACCTTACAGGAAAAATACTCTTTTTTCCTCACCCTTTTTAAAATGCTAAACTTTTTTTAAACACATTTTTAAAATCACAACTAAAGTAAATAAATAGTTTTCCACCATTCAGTCAGAATGGAGGAAACTTCTTGGATGAGAAACAAAACATCTTCAAACAAAAACCAAGAAAGTTCAGATACCTTTTGAAAAAACACCTTTGGGACAACCATGACCTGGATGACTAAGAATCTCCACAGACATTTAACATAATAATAATTTTTGTAAAAAACCCAATTGCAAATGGTATTCCTGTAGCAAAGGAAAGAAACTGCTGTGAAAATAGTCCTAATTTTGAACCTTTTATTAGGATTAGCAAAAAATACCTGATATATAATTAATTAATATAATAATATTATTAATATAATATATTATATTAATATAAATTCAAGATAGAGAAAATATATAAAACACAAAACCAATCTACCAAAAGGTAAATAAAGAGAGAAGTTATCTACATGTATATATATATATATATATTCTTAAGTTTTCGCGGGTATTTATATGTATGGTATTCAGCTTTGTTCGGGTATTTTCCCACGTCATTGTAGTTGTGCTTTTAAAGTTGTAGCAACATTTCAGCAGAATCTCATCTGCCGTCATCAGGCTTCTGTATTGTGTTCGTCTGTGAGTCAGACTTTTACAGGGCGAGTCTGTTTATTCCCAGGTGTTTGCCTG